AGCAGGAGGCATATACCGCGGGGCTGGTAGTTCGTGAAAAAAGCCATGATTCCAGGATCTTGAAATGAAACAAAAAGCACACTTGACAAAACTTTTCACAGTTCGAGAGAGAGGAAAGCGTCAAGAAGTCCGGTTCGACTGTGCCTTGTGCATGTGCACTTACAACTACGACTACATGTAGTAAGAACTAGTAGCTACATGCGCAAGTATGAGTACTCGTAGTGCACTGTGTACTAGAGCACACGCGGAGCATCCGAATAGTATTCGAAAAGTATTTTCTCTTCGCGGGCATTTTTCAGTCGAACAAAGCCCTAGTTTCGACTGATTGAGTGCTTTTCGTGACGATTCTCGAATTTCACTCGAAAATTCGATTTGCTGATGCTCCGTAATGTCAAAGTCGAAGAGAACGGAACTGAAGAAGAAATTTCTTTTGACAGATGCAGCTAGCAGGTTGGATGCTCACTTTAAATTTCCCCGCCAAGATCTCTGCGCATGCGGATCACGTTTTGGAGATTCCCCGGGATCGCCTAGGCAACGAAGACGAAGACGCGAATAAAGACGTGAGTGTGAAACGCCTATTATTTCCCTTCCAGTCGATCTTCGAGTCTTTAGAGCCACACAAGTTGTGTGATATGTTGCCCAGCGTCCTTGGATTGGTTTGACCGTTTTGTCGGATGGTCTTGCCAGTATCTTTTTTTCAGAGTGGAACCTCTTGTACGGATAAAACTCAAAACAATACATAGAAAACCGGCACGTTCGGGCTGTCCGCCTTTTCCGTGAAAAAAATTATATTAAAAAGACTAATTCTTTCTTTCATATCTGGCTTGCAAGTGTTGAGTTTCGGAGAGAATAGAGCAGTACGTGGCATGTGGCCTCTAATTTCCTAAAAAATTAATAATTATAAAAAAACTCGGGTATTGAGCCAATAATAAAAGTAGAAAGGAAAAGGACATATGGAAACGAGTTAAGAGTAACTCTCCACCACTGTAACTAGATACTATATACAGTTTGATATTTTTGACCCACCCAAGTTGGGTGGTGTGCTGCTTTGCTGCTTCGAATTGTAGTTAGACCGCTTTGTCAAATCGCCTACTGGTCTCGTCATCGTCCAGTGACAATCGACATTCTTTGTTCCGTTGGGACTGTAGCTTGTGCTCGTTTTCGTTGCGCTTGCCTTCCCCTCTTTGGTCTTTCCATAACCTTGAACCTTCCAAGTTGGAAGGCTGTCGGTTAGCGCTACGGAGATGTGTTGAAGCTAGGTGTCAGGACGTCGAATGTCTCAGTACTCTGTCAGTTTTGTGCCTAGTTGTTGCACTTTCTGACTGTATATAGTATCTAGTTACAGTGGTGGAGAGTTACTCTTAACTCGTTTCCATATGTCCTTTTCCTTTCTACTTTTAATTATAAAAAACAGCAAATAAATAATATCATAAGATATGGAACAAAAAGTAAGGAGAAAGTAAAACACTGTACAATTTATGGCAAAAATCCATTCAGTTCCAGCACAATACTGCTCCTGAGCCGGACCAGACCACCATCCGAGCTTCAATGCGGTAGAAGCAGAGACAAGGCGGTGGCAGTGGATCAGTCGGCGGGCACCCCGGAGACAAGCAACACTTGCTACTAGGAGGGCGAAGCTCAACTGGGCATGAACCGGGCCATGAGGGAGGAGTGGGCCTCTCGAGTCTTCTTGGACAACATGGAGGCAATGCGCTTGTAGAGAGAAATGGCTGAATTGCCCATGCCTCCGTGTGCCGAGAAAACCACAGGGATGAAGCCTGCCCGCTCAACGTGTTGAGTCATTTCTCCGAAGGACCGACGCTTCTCACGCTCATGTCGTTTCAACGGTTTGTAGCAGGATGCCGCAGATGATGAACGATTTGATGGAGCGTGCGGGTTGAAGACCTGGATGTCCAGGTAAAAAAAAAAAAAAAGTAAATTATCGTATCCGTTCCCGAAGGGAACTCACGACGGCCGCTAACACCCGATAAACCCTATGTCCAGGTAGTTCCGTAAAAACCGGCCGCCATAGATAGATTCCGTTTGCGACAACATCCAGCCGACCCAGGTCATCCCACCCAGCTGTTCGATACGCACGTTCTCCCCGTCAAGGGCTGGAAGGTTGGCTCCACATCGACGTCATGCACCACACTACCTAGCAGCTGCGCCATGAGATCTCTCACCTCATTGTGTCGCATGATAATGAAGTCTCCCTTACCGCAGGAGTAAGCATGGGCAACAGTGAATGCTGCACCACACGAGCAGGTTGATGGCAGTCGGTCCGGGTGCAAACCATAGGGAAGCGCCAGCCCGTCACGAACCATAGGGAAGCGCCAGCCCGTCACGAAACTGGCCCTTGCACAAGGTAAAGCCATAGCGTGCTGGTGGTCGGCATGTAAGCCAGCAAAAGAGCGCCTTTCTCGCTGCCAAGCTCCTTGCACGGTTGCCTAGGGGAAATTCATAATTTGCGAGCTCCATGACCATGGCACGGTGATCCTCGGACATTCGCTGGTCATGCTGGACCTCACCTTTGCGTTCCCTGACCTCAGCCAATGACTTTCCCAGGATACCAGCCTACGTGTTCATTTGATGGACTAGCGCAGTAGTGATGGGCCGAGAAGCCGAGCATTGAGTGGAAAGAGATGTAGGATCCGCCAGAGCAAGACCTCCATGGCGACGGGAAAGTCCAAGGAGGCTAGGGTACTCCTGGCCGATGTGCTGGCCAGTCAGCACAGGGATGATCGTTGTAGTGATTAATTTGATGTTCCAGGGATTCCAGCTGCTTAGCCGCCCCAGCGAGTGTTCGACAGATGAAGGGTCCCTTATGCTGGAGGCCTCTGATGTTGGCTGGTTGCATACTGTAGCTACCTGAGCAAGCGATTGCCCACACTTCTTCTGGACACAGTGCTGACAGTATTCCGGTGTGCCAGTGGTAGCGCCAAGGTACCTATAACCCTCCCCGGTGATGCGGATCCCTGAGCCGGCGAATACTCTTCGAGCTTCATCCAGACACTCATGTTTAACTACAAGGAGTCTGGACTGATTTTGAGGGGTTGACTTGATAGCCAAAAGCGGGCCCCCGTTCCAGGAGGCCGTCCCACCATGCCTTCAGTCGGCGAGTCGCACCATCTTGCCGCCAGAAGATGAGTCGTCAGCATACCACTGTTGGCATTCTTTATTGTTTTATTGAAACTACAAACCTTCAAACATGTGCATTTGCGTATGTATGTTTTACATGCGTATGTATAGAAAAGGCAGCACAGAAACGGCAGTGGTGGTGAGGCCTGGGCAGCTCGTCCATGCCCCATTAGTAGCAACGGGCGTGATCAATGGGAGGATGCCGATGGCATAAATTGGTATAGCCATCGGGTCACCCTGAGTGGTTCCCTCCCTTGACTGGATGGTTTCTCCCCCAATATGCAAGTTGGCAGGGCTGCGGTAGCAGTTAATGCTGGGCATGACAGGCGGATGTTGTGCATACATGCAGCACGGTTGAGGCTGCGTTACTGGCGTCAGCCATCAGCACACCGTCAACATCAGGGGAGTCGCACACATGCGTCATGGCGTGAATGGCGGCCTCATTTCCGCAGTCTTGGCCTGCGCAAAGTTGTTGGCTATCTGCTGCTTCCTGGATATCATTTCCAATGATTGACAGGATTGCTTTTCCAATCACACATCGGATCACCTCCCCGATTCCAATGGGTCTGACAGGGGCACACGCTGAGATGCTATATAGACCTCTAGGGAGGAGGGATTGACATACTTTGTTGCTAGGCGACGTGCAGCTCCATGTGTGTGTAGAACTACCTTGCCTCACGGTTCAAATTCTCAAAACTGACTGGGTGGGTTGTTGTTGTTATTGCTGTAGACATTTACTAAAGTCGCACCACGCCGATTTCGCCTCCTTTTGGTACATGTGGATGCCAGAGGGAATGTGAGAGAGAGGTGGGGACAGAAATACGGAGAGAAGAGGAAGGGTAGAAAGGAATTATGCTAGTCAACATCAGGGCTACACTTAATCAAAAACGGAATGGGAATATACGATAATTAAACAAAATAGCATCACCAAAAGTATTGCGAAACACGCTTCCTATACGTCAGTCCTCTATACCACAGAATTACAACGGAGATCAGGCAGGAGCTGGTACCACAGGACTGTGGCGATGAACTGCATAGTCGGTCGACGAGGATGACGTGCGCTTCGTGGCTCAAGGTAGCTGCATCAGGGTACTTTGCCTTGAGGACCTGTTCAACTGTTTCCTCGGCAATCTGATTGTCAAGCTTGAGAAGACCACCCTTTGCTGAGGTATCAAGCTGGCGTAGAGCAGCCGAGATTTCCCCATCAGTAACCAGGGATGCGAAATTTCTTCGTGCCAGCTGGCGTGGAGCAGCCGAGCCAGTATCGTTTTCGACATACATGTACATCCGCCAGCGTCCTTAAATTAACAGCCAAGGCTTTCAGCTCATGCGTGTCTTAGGTGCGCTCACCTTCCCCTCCTATGTTATCTCTATAACTTAGAACCTTCCAAGCTAGAAGGCTGTCTGTACCGTTGGTCAATGTTATGCAATGTTATCGCATAAGCTGATTGTAAAGTAACTGGTGGAATTAGTGGATATTATAGCGTAACTTGTAGCTACTTGGTCCTTCTTTCTTCTTAAAAATAATTCATTAATCATTGGCTCTCCGCCCGAGTCTCACCATTTAAAATCAATGCTCCTGTCTGATGATCGCTGAACTGCGTGAAATTTTAAAAAGCTACAGCTAGACAGCCTATCGCCTCTGTTGTGTGTGGATACTGCTCTGCACATTTGTGTATTGAGCACTCTACCTCGAGCTGCCTGGACCGGCCTTGTTTGCTCAATTATTGTCAATACAATTAAATTTTACCATTTCCATATAACAATTCTACTACTCCGTGGTCATTACGTAGAGCGAAACTTCCCTGATATCAATGCTCCCCTCTGCACCTCTCTACCATCAAATTGTATGTTTATTACAGGTACCCTGCAGCATCACGACTCTTGACGTATTATGGTGGTGGCTCTGGTCATATCTATCTCCGAGATGTTCGCTGCACAGGAAATGAGTCCAATATTTTACAATGTGCGCATATTGCTGAGGAGCAATACGGGTGTCCACACGAGTTTGACGTGGGACTGCAGTGTGGTATGTATGGTTTGCTGTGAGTGCACGGTAATCTAGCTGTACACTAACTCTTTGGAGGCTACGGCAAACGAGAGGGCTTAAGGGGGCAGCCTACCCATAAATTTCATATGGCATTCAATTGACCGTAACTTTGGTGTTTCTCAATGGATTTGAGTGAAATTTTGACCACACACTCCTGCCACTATGCTGGCCCTCAGGACATGATTTACAAGTTCTTGCGCCTCACTGACAGGCTTTCCAGGCCGGAAAAACTCAAATTTCCGGCATAGTGCCACGGTGTGCAAGCCACCCAGGAGCCAAACAAATGCATTTACAATTTTTTCACATTTTCGTGCTCATTCTGTCCGTGAGCGGGACCCAAACCTAGAACAAGTCCAGAAGCAGCCATGGGTGATGGGGTAGGGCCCCTCAACGAGGCCCTGGAATCTGTCACAACGGAACGAGTGGGCGTTCTCTCACACACTCACACAGACCCAAGTCAATTTTTGAATTTTTTTAGGTTTAGCACGTGCTACGAGGTCGTACCTTTGATACAACATCCAGTGCTGGGACCTCCACAGCAAGCCATTTCCACAGCGCTGCACACCAAATCCAGGATGCCCTCAGAAACCGGCAAAGACTACCACTCACGTTTCACTACTGCCTAGTACTGAATCCTACCTGACTTCTTGACACGACTCAAACTTGCCAATGTCACTAAATCAACGTCAACTACAATAATCAAGCCACATATCTGCAACGTCACGAGGGTGCTGGCAAAAGTCCTGCTGCACGGCGGCGGGCTTCGCCCGCCGCCGTGCAGCCCAATACGTGGTTTTTTAACGTGATTTTTTGGACTTTTTTGGACTTGGGGCAAAATTCTGCACAATTTCGCGTGTTTCCATAATACGACAAGTTGCGCAAAGTCTGCTCACATTCAAATACAGTGCTGCCAACAAATGACAGCGTGCAACAAAAAAATCTTTCCTTGCAAGAGCACATTTTCGGCCATAACTCTTGAACGGCTGGTCAGATAGGGACACAATTTTCAGAGTTTTTTGCAGCTATTCATGCTCTTTCAACTGACGTAGCACTCAATATGAATTTACAAATTCGGTTTTTCAGCGAATTTTTGGGTAGTCTGCCACCTTAAGGGGGCAGCCTACCCATAAATTTCATATGGCATTCAATTGACCGTAACTTTGATGTTTCTCAATGGATTTGAGTGAAATTTTGACCACACACTCCTGCCACTATGCTTGCCCTCAGGACATGATTTACAAGTTCTTGCGCCTCACTGACAGGCTTTCCAGGCCGGAAAAACTCAAATTTCCGGCATAGTGCCACGGTGTGCAAGCCACCCAGGAGCCAAACAAATGCATTTACAATTTTTTCACATTTTCGTGCTCATTCTGTCCGTGCGCGGGACCCAAACCTAGAACAAGTCCAGAAGCAGCCATGGGTGATGGGGTAGGGCCCCTCAACGAGGCCCTGGAATCTGTCACAACGGAACGAGTGGGCGTTCTCTCACACACTCACACAGACCCAAGTCAATTTTTGAATTTTTTTAGGTTTAGCACGTGCTACGAGGTCGTACCTTTGATACAACATCCAGTGCTGGGACCTCCACAGCAAGCCATTTCCACAGCGCTGCACACCAAATCAAGGATGCCCTCAGAAACCGGCAAAGACTACCACTCACGTTTCACTACTGCCTAGTACTGAATCCTACCTGACTTCTTGACACGACTCAAACTTGCCGAAGTCACTAAATCAACGTCAACTACAATAATCAAGCCACATATCTGCAACGTCACGAGGGTGCTGGCAAAAGTCCTGCTGCACGGCGGCGGGCTTCGCCCGCCGCCGTGCAGCCCAATATGTGGCTCAAAAACCTGATTTTTTGGACTTGGAGCAAAGTTCTGCACACTTTCACGTGTTTCTATGATACGACAAGTTGCGCACGGTCTGCTCACATTCAAATACAGTGCTGCCAACAAATGACAGCGTGCAACAAAAAAATCTTTCATTGCAAGGGCACATTTTCGGCCATAACTCTTGAACGGCCGGTCAGATCGGGACACAATTTTCAGAGAATTTGCAGCTATTCATGCTCTTTCAACTGACGTAGCACTCAATATGAATTTACAAATTCGATTTTTCAGCAAATTTTTGGGTAGTCTGCCACCTTAAGCCCAGGATCCCTCGCTAAGCTTTCGTAGCCTAATAATCAAACTGATCGAAACATCTTTGCAATACGATTGTCGTGCAGATTTTTTTGTTTTGCAAAGACGTTTCTATTACTTTTTTTCTTTGTCAACCGGGAATCCCTGAACAGGCTGCGATGCAGCGTTCCTCCTTTATTCCCAATCGAACGTGGTTCAACAAGCGGTCAAGTGCTCCTGGGTGCCCAAATCACCTGGTCACCACGCCAGCAGGCGACAACTTTCACACCAAGGTTCAACTCGAGTTCAAGTCGAGTGACAGGACTGCACCCAAAAAAGGTCAAACAGGCTAGTAAGTTGTAGAGTCTACCCTGCAGGCACGGTGACCAGGTGACTGGTGTACGCAGGGTCACGTGACCGCTTGTTCAACCATGTTCGATTGGGAATAAAGGAGGAACGCTGCATCGCAGCCTTTTCGGACCAAAACCAGTCGACTCAGCGTCCAAAAGACTACAACATATGGGCCAATTGCGGTCATCTGTGCTTTTATAAGAACGAAATGGCGCTTTTAGTGACATTTTGCATACAAATCCCCATCTAGTAGGGCGCAGTCACCAAGTTTCGGTGGAAGTACGCGAGTTCGATTGGTATTCAAGTAGGAAGGGAGCGTCTCAGCTTCCTCGGACCACGACCATTCGACTCAGCACCCCGAAGACTACAACTGGTGATATTTTCATTTCAGCTTTAACTTCCCCTTTAAGAGTAACTTTCCACCACCGAAACGAGATACTATAATTATGCTTTCAGAAATAGTAACAACTAGGCACAAAACTCACAGAGTACTGAGCCATTCGACGTCCTGACACATAGCTTTAACACATCTCCGTAGCGCTAACCAACAGCCTTCCAACTCGGAAGGTTCAAGGTTAAGGAAAGACCAAATAGGGGAAGGTAAGCGCAACGAAAATAAGCACAAGCTACAGTCCCACCGGAACAGAGAATGTCGATTGTTACTGGACAATGACGAGACCAGTAAGATACTTGACAAGCGGTCTAACTACAATTCGAAGCAGCAAAGCAGCACACCTACCAACTTGGGTGGCTCAGAAATATCAAAGATAAGTACACAAGGGGGAAGCTTTGCGAAAACGAATTGTACAAATCGAACGGGAACGCCAAACTCCTGCAGTACTTCTCGTGCATGACACTGTGATGGACTAGTTGACTACAAAACAAGTAGTTTCAAACGATGTACGTTTCGCCGTATGGTTCGTGACGGCTAGGCCTGGGCGGATAATGCTAGCATTATAAGTAGCATTATAGTGTGCGATTTGCAACGAGCATTATGCTAGCATTATAATACTACATTTCCGCAAAAGTGGCATTATAATTTATACTCAAAATAATGGCCCTGATAACTAATACTTACTTCTCCGAAAACCAGGCTTATGGGGAAAATCATTTTTTTGAGAAAAATAATGTTTTGTAAAAAGGTTGTGTCGCGTGGACGCTCGAGTGCAGTGCAGTGGCAAAGAGAATCTCGCTTGTTCGAAGAAGTAGCAGTCATGGCAGGAAGGGTTTCAGCAGTCAGGAAAGTCAAAGGGCTTCCGGTAGAATATTCCCTGCTACTCCTCTAGTCACAACGAAGAGTATTTGAGCTGATCGAACGGATTCCATCTCCTACACTCAGGGATGGCGAAATTTCTGCGCTAGCTGCTGCTTGCGGAAAATGGTGAAGAAATCGTCTCCAGTTAGAGTCGTGATGGCGATAGCGAGGAGAACCTGGACGACATCGATCCAGCCAATCGAAGTGCGGAGATACTAGCTGTTTCTGGGCCTCACACAAAGGGAACACGCACAGCAGAGCTCATACGTTTGCAGCAAGTTCACCAGGAAAAAGGCTTGAAGCGCAGTGTGAAAACTGTTTTGAATTGAAGTCCTTGGCGATGAAGTGCTACTGAATGCCAGGCGAATGAGCGAGCAGATCGAGAGACCTCCACTCGAGACTTTCCTCGCTGGACAGCTAGCTGCAAGGGATTGTATGGAGCCAATAGCAGCATAAAATTAGCATTATGATCATGATTTTCCGGTAGCATTTTCTATGCCTTCTACGTAGACTACGAAACGTGCACAATACTGCCAAAACCAAGCCATTTTTTCCATACTTACTACTGGTGAATTTCTGGCATTACAAAGGAACACCAGCATTACAAGTAGCATTATGATACAGTTTTTCTGGCATTGCCAATAGCATTATCCCACAAAATAACTAGCATTATCACATGGCACGTGATTGTTGCCCGTACTCCAGCGAATCAGCACCTTTCGCGCTCCGGGCAATAATATGCGATATTGCCCGCAAAAAAATAGTTTATTTGCCCGCAAAAAAATAGTTTATTTCAGTGATCGCGTGACCACGACGACTCTGTAGCCTGTACGACTCTACGACGAGTCGCAGTGTAGCATTGAGACGAAGATGGATTTCTTTTTGGAGATGGACATCCCGGCAATGGACATGGCCTCGGACGTCTGCCGTGTGGTGCTTGCAGGGATCATTTGTTCAGTCATGTGTGCAGCCTGACCGTCGGTTAGCTTGTGGATAAGATTCAGTTCTGCTCGAAGTGGTACTGTGATCACAAACAATTATTTGAAATAGCACAAATTCAATTCAGCGTCGTGCGTTTTCAGATCCTCGCAAAGTCACTGCCTGTATGTGGTCTTCATGTGCCACGCAAAACTCTTACCAGGCTGATCTGTCCTCTGCCTTCACCTTTGCTTGAACAACAAACACAACAATTCAGTAATGTTTTGCAATGAAAAATACAGCTATCTGGAGCTGAAAAAAAAGAAGAAAAATTGTCCTCAGAATTACACACCAGGGAGTCGTCAAATACTTGCACTTGTTGCAGTACTGTGTTTGACAACTTCCTGATACACATGTAAACATGAAGAAACTCTTTATGGTAGCACTCTTAATTTTTCAACTGAAATTATGATTCTGCTGTATTTTATTCTCGTTGCCATGTCTATTGCTATGACGATGCGGTGCCGGCACTTTTTTTCTGTCTCCGTCTTACAGTACTGTATACTCTCTGATGGCCTGTAGCAGACTTTTTGTTAGGGTGTAGGAGAAATATCTTCATTTTTCCTGTTTTGATAATGATAGCACATCAATATACATTGTGGTCATAATGTGTTGGCATTTGGGCTAATTTCAACGGCAGCCCAATGGTCTGCTCTGTGGGCCATGTGATAAATTTGTTATCGCATGGTTGCAAGGGCCTTATGGCATATTATTGCCCCGAGAGGTTAGCCCGAGGGCCGTAGGCCCGAGGGCTAACCTCGAGGAGTGGTACTGTGATCACAAACAATTATTTGAAATAGCACAAATTCAATTCAGCGTCGTGCGTTTTCAGATCCTCGCAAAGTCACTGCCTGTGTGTGGTCTTCATGTGCCACGCAAAACTCTTACCAGGCTGATCTGTCCTCTGCCTTCACCTTTCCTTGAACAACAAACACAACAATTCAGTAATGTTTTGCAATGAAAAATACAGCTATCTGGAGCTGAAAAAAAAAGAAGAAAAATTGTCCTCAGAATTACACACCAGGGAGTCGTCAAATACTTGCACTTGTTGCAGTACTGTATTTGACAACTTCCTGATACACATGTAAACATGAAGAAACTTTTTATGGTAGCACTCTTAATTTTTCGGGGGAAAAAAAAGTATCCATTTTTCCTATCTCACTTGTAACCCATCCCGTTGATGCGCACAAGTGGTACTTGTCCGCCCAGGCCTAGTGACGGCGCATGAGGTGTGCAGTTTGAAACTCGGACGTTGAGCCAATAATAAACTTTAATGTAGAAAGGAAAAGGACATATGGATACGAGTTAAGAGTAACTTTCCACCACTTTATCTATATACTTCAGTGAAACCTTTCCAAGACGACCGCTCCAGGGACCTTCAAACGTGGTCTCTGTTACCAGGTGGTCTCCTTATCCAGGGTCATTTGACTGGAGATAGCATTCCTTGGTCCTGGTTTCAGTGGTCTTCTAGTACAGGTGGTCACCTTATCCGAGTGGTCGCCTTGACAGGTTTTACTGTATATGCAGTCAGTAAGTGCAAAGTTAGGCACAAAACTGACAGAGCACTGAGACATTCGACGTGTTGACACTACGGAGATTAGTTGAGGCTAAAGCTGTGTTCACAACTGGCGCGTGTACGCGTGAAACCACGCGTTTGTGCGTATTTTTGCTGGCTTTTGGGGCGCCATGCGTACGAAAACGCGCCGAAATGAAAATTCCAACATGTTGGAATTTTCAGCGCGTATCAGGCGCGTATCAGCGTACATGCCAGTCACTCTGACTGGCAGGGTCAAAAAATGAGTACTCGAAGGTGTCGCACGCGCTAAATACGACTCGGATTGCTGTTTTTTGTGAAAGGCTGAGCGCGCGTTTGGGCACGCATGAACCGCAAGCATACCGCGTCCAAGCGCGAGTTGTGAATACAGCTTAAGTGCTAGGCGCACGACGCCGTCTCCTGTTTACATTCAAAATGCAGCCGGTTGGTACGCTTACGTTCCCATCTAAGCCCATCTACGGTATGACAAGCAATTCGTTGACCTGATAAAACTCTTCCCGTCGCTTCCCGATCCGTACAGTAGTACGATTGCGTCCCTGTCTCTGTTGTTCACATTGGACTCCGTCAGACCGTCCCGTCGTTTCCCGTCAACCCTTACGTCTCGCCCCGTCGCACTACATCGAATACGTGTATACCTCGTGATGGTTTGGCCCGGAGAGTACTATATATGTGGCGCTTTTCAGGCACAATCTTCCTCAGCCTGCTCAAGCTCAACGAATGAGGTCTGAATTCCCCGAAACACTGTGTATTGAGCAGGGAGTGGTGCTTTCTTCCAGGTTTGACTAGTGGAAGGTGCGACGTGCTCCTGGTGAGCTCTACATGGTAGTCTTGAGCCAGTCAAGTGTCAAGTTCGGCAGGAAGCTTGCGTTCCTCGTTGGAACAACCAACTCTCTCTCTCTCTCTCTCTCTCTCGCTCTCTCTCTCTCTCTATCTCTCTCTCTCTCTATCTCTCTCTCTCTCCGACTCTCTCTCTATCTATCTCTCCCTCTCTCTCTCCACACTATACTTTCGCTATATTGGTTTTCAATCTCTTTTGTTTCTCTTCTTCTCCCAATTTTCTGAGGCGTGAAGTAGGCGCGGATGTCGAGACCATTGGTCGGCGGAGCCTGCAGCACCCCATCACCACCGCTGCGTTGTATTTGCAGCCCCATTCAGCCAATGTCTTGTTAGTCTGTTGTGTTTTCTCATTTCCTGCTTCTTTTTTGTTTTACGAATTGGGTGCGTGGTTTCAAGTAAAAAAAATCATCACTAATAACGCCGAAGTCGCAATTTCTAAGTTCTTATTTGCTGTTCAATTTTTCATCCTAGCGATACTGATGCTGTTGTTGTTGCTGCTGCTCTTGTTGTTGTTGCTGTTGTTGTTGTTGTTGTTGTTGTTGTTGTTGTTGTTGTTGTTGTTGTTGTTGTTGTTGTTGTTGCTTTTCTTGTTGTTGGGGCTGTTGTGGCTGTTGCCATACCATTTGTATATTAGTCTTTACTGCTACACACACAACAGAGGCGAAAGGCTGTGTTAGCTGTAACTTAAAGTTTCACGCATCGGAGCGATCATCAGACAGCAGCATTCACTATCGAATTCTCTACGAGCAGGCCTAGATATTTGATGCTAGTGTGGAAGTTAGAGCATATGTGCGAAGTGAAGACGTGGCATTGGGACAATGGTATTGAGCTGTTTTGTGAGAGTTAATGGACATAGGTGAGAATAGAGGCGATAACAGGGCAGTGTTCCCGATTCATCAAAGGCGATAGCGACAGTAGCGCAAGACCACAGCAGGAGTGAAGAGGGAGAGAGAAAGCACCATGGCGCCAAACCTGCTGCAGGTTGCGCCATGTTGAAACTCATGTAACTGATGGTGAGAATCTGGACAGGTAATACTTGTTCTCGTGTCTGCATTTCGACACCAACTCCGACCTTTCGTTGATGTTGACCGTTGTGTCTGCTTCCAGGATCTCCAGTTTCTCAGCCAGGCATAGGGGACACCGCTTGGTCGCGTTCGAGTAGGCCTGAGCCTACTCGTAGAGAATTCGAAAAGTGAATGCTGCTGTCTGATGATCGCTCCGATGCGTGAAACGTTTTAAAAGTTACAGCTAGCACAGCCTTTCGCCTCTGTTGTGTGTGTATACTGCTCTGTACATTCGTACATTGAGCACTCTACCTCGAGCTTCCTAGACCGGCCTTGTTTGAGTCTTCACTGTTATAAATGCACAGTTTTCTCTTTTGGTTTTCTTCATTTTTTTGCAGAAGTAACCAGAATCATCCCATACTCCTCCAACCACACCAACATCGGAGAGGTGGAGGTATTTCAGAATGGTAAATGGGGTAAAATCTGTGCTGATCACTGGACTGCAAAAGAAGCCAATGTGGTGTGCCTGCAACTTGGGTAAGAATACTTCAAGGTTAAAATGTTGGTATTCATGGACTCCTAACATATAAGACAAATGGGGATCATCAATAGTCACGGTAAACACCTGTCAAGGCGACCACTCGGAGAATGTGACCATCTGTCGTCCTAGAAGACCACTGAAACAAGGACCAAGCGATGCCATTTCCACTCAAAAGACCCAGGATAAGGAGACCACCTCGTAATAGGGACCACGTTTTGAACATTCCTTGAGTGTTAATCTTCGACAAGCTTCGTTATAATATAAGGAAACCTGTCAAAGACTATAAGCATGTTGGTTGCTTACTTCCTTAGCGCTCACAACAGTCGGTGGGAAAATCGCGAGCTCCAAAAACGTTTTACATGAGAATGTGAGATATGCTGAGGATGACGCATTGAAGTACATTAGCAGGTTTTTTTAAACATTTTTGCACTTTCCATGTAGACCCGCACATTATCATAAACGTGAGTAGCCTATATGGCCCCGATCCACAGCTGCGTTAGTTTTCTATCAGAACATACAGTCGACCCCACCACTTATGACGAAATCGCATAAATAACACAAAGAAATTCGGGATATAGCGAACCATTGTCCATGTTCCTTGTTGAATTTCATACAAATTGACCCTTTGTAGCGAACTGTTTTCGTTTATAACCAACCATAATTAGGGACCTTTCGCATTTGCTACGAAACGAATGCGAAACGAAAGTTTGATTCGGCTCGTAATCGTTTCGTTGAAAACAGATTTTAGGTTTCGCATGTCGTCATGCAAATGTGCATGGCAACTACGAATACGGCCGCGGGCGCCGGTAGTTTGGCGTACGGGTTTTTACACGCACACGTGCATGGGTCATGGAATCAAGGGAAAATGTGTACCTTGCAAAACATGTGTACCTATCCAAATAGATGTGTACCTGACGGATTCGGAGCGTGCCACGAATGAAGAGGCTTCCATTCGTGGAAACGAGTTCTCCGCAGGGACTCTGACGAATCCTCGAACCCAGGTGACGAATCAGCATTCGTTTCGTATCCGTACGCGGGGTGCAAAAGGTCCCTATTATCTTGCAGGGCCACACGTAAACGAAAAGACCAATCCCCTTGTTATACTGAGTTCGAGCACGGGGGCAACCTCTCTCGCAATCGAACTAGCTTTTGAACGTGACAGCATCTTTGACAGTGTGTTTTCAGGTTTGTTTTGGAATGTCTTCTGCTTGGTTCAAGTGGTTTACGATGGCTTCGAGCGGTGCTGAAGCTCCTGTTGGTAGGAGAAAAGTCTCCGAGAGAGACATGGACTGTGATGCAGCTGCAGGATTTTTTGAAGGCGCGCGAGGGAAAGACCTCGGGCCACAAATAGGAGTTACTCCCGAGGTGAGTTTTGTTGTTGTTGAAATATTCGAGTCGCGAGTCATGTTGTCAGCTTTATTGTTGTGCCGAGGCTACAGCAGACTGTATTCCCTTCTCCTTGAGATCGGTGCTGAAGATTATAGTAACCTTTTCTGGTCTGCCTTTTCTTCTCCAGAGCCATCTTCTATGAAGGTAACCGTGGTGCTGCCAAGTCAGCAAGTAACTATCGCGATCAGCAGCCCTGAAGTGGAAAAAATCTATTTTCCAACGGTCTGGTTGGACATCAGACACTTCTGATTTGCCTGTAGTGACAACAGCAGCCATCCTTGGACACCGTGCAAAGACAGGAAAAGCCATTGATGGAAGTGACTGCTATGAGATGACTATAGCAGTGACAATAGCTGTATTGTCAAGTCGAAGGGCTGGCCAACCCAGGAGAAGCATTCAAAAATATTATGAGCAGTATGTGGTGTTTGTTGAGCGTGAAGAGCTAGAGGAGGACAGTGCAAACACATGGAAGGAGTGCATGGTGTTTGAGGAACAGTGCGCTGTGTGCCAGCTGGTGGTAATGGTGGTCTTTGCCAGCATGTATTCGTGCTGCTTTATTCCCATTACCACAGAGCCTGTGATGAGTCTGGCTTTTGATAAGTCAAAGCTTGCCATTGATCACAAGCGTGGGGAAGTGGATTGCTCCCTCTTCGAAGCACGAGGGCTAAAGCTTGCAGCTGTCTGCAGCAAGGTGTGTGTGCGATCCGTGGAGTCCTTTCGAACCTATGAATACTCCCCCTCCCCCGCCCGCTTAGGGAGGCTGCATGTTAAGAGTGAAATATTTTCTACTATATTTTTGTGTGAGACGGGCTTTTTACGCCTTAGAAGAAGATACAGTTTTTCCCGTTTCTATACCTTTCTAATACAATAATATATTGACATACCTTTCGGCCATACTCCACTTTACTACATCCTCAACCCGTCACCACCATGCGCTCTTGGCCGAACCAATGCACGAAGCATAAACACACCAGCACAGCAAGGACACTGCCGTTGACAGATACTTTCTACGCCTCTAGACAGCTGCTTCGCTCCTTCGAGCTCATCATTAGAGAATGCTACTAATGATGATATAATACAAAATAATGATTATACGCCAGTCTGGTAATGCGTTGTACTGCTGGACAGTATTGAAATAATCACTGCATTCGATGCAAAATTAATAATGGTATGTCTTTGTTTTTGATTTCAGTATTGAAAAAAGAGTAAGAGAACTTGTTTGATTTAGTTGCGTCTACGACTGGCTAAGGGGTGCTGTGGCCAGCAATTTCACCATGGGAGATCACAAGAGCGCAAGGATCTGTTGGGTCTTGATGACCTCCCTTGTCGTGCCAGTGCGAGACCCTAAAAGCATGGCAAACTAGAACAGTTGCATCCACAATGCAGAATGTCTTGCGGTACGTGGCATTGATGACTGAACATCTGGCCAGCTCGCCCAGACGGAGGAACAAGAAATCTTCCCAGCTCAGCTACTTAAAAACCATGAAACGGATGATTTCCTTGCGCCAAATATGTATGCGAGCTTCTGTTCCATTCGGCCCAGGCGTAGACACATCAATGCCAATAGCAGCTGATCCTCCATTACATGCTCATTGGCGATTTACCTCCAACTGTCATCTGCCGTTCGGCTCAGCTTCTGTCTTCGCAGATCTGGCGTGGCTCAGTACATTTTCTGGGCTAGGCTCAAAGATACGAAGTAGTGGTTGCGACTTCGGCGAGGATTTGTAAGAAATGGTTTGCTCCCCACACCGGAGCTCGCGCTATTCCGCCGACTTTACTTGACACTTGACGGACTCACGATTGCCATCCAGAGCACGCGAGAAGTCCATCGAACCTTCGACTCGGCAAACCTGCAAGAAAGCACCACTCCCTGCTCAATACACAGTGTTTCGGGGAATTCACCCCTCATCAGTTGAGCTTGAGTAGGCTGAGGAAGATTGTGCCTGAAGAGCACCACTTATATAGTGCTCTCCAGGCGCAAACATCACCAGGGATACAAACTTACAGAGACGCTCCGCTTCCAGCGCGACAAACACCTCCTGAACACCAGATAGCAGCGTGAGTCAGTGTCGCTCCTGGACGGTGAGACAGACGTCGAGGACCCTCGGTCATTCGCAACGCTGTCACCTCCAAACCAACTAGTCGCAAGCCCGCGCTGGGCATAACAGAACGAAGTAGTGGTTGCGACTTCGGCGATGATTTGTAAGAAATGGTTTGCTCCCCACACCGGAGCTCGCACTATTCCGCCGACTTTACTTGACACTTGACGGACTCACGACTGCCATCCAGAGCACACGAGAAGTCCATCGAACCTTCGACTCGGCAAACCTGCAAGAAAGCACCACTCCCTGCTCAATACACAGTGTTTCGGGGAATTCACCCCTCATCAGTTGAGCTTGAGTAGGCTGAGGAAGATTGTGCCTGAAGAGCACCACTTATATAAGTCGGCGGAAGAGCTCCGGTGTGGGGAGCAAACCATTTCTTAGGCTCAAAGATGTCCCACAAAGTGGTCCAAACACCTGAAAACAAACCAGTCAAAACTTGAGCTGCTCAGAGTCTTCCTTTATTTTATCGTACATAAGTAGCTGTTTTTCGGTTTTCTTCACCCCAGTCCTCACATCGTCCAACTGCGCCTTGATGCTGTATACACGAGTTCTACTTGCTGCCAGCTCCTGGTGCAGATGCTGCACTTCCACTACAGGACCAAACTGCACTAGGCCAGGTTCCTTTCCAACTCAAACTGCCGTTGCCTCTCAGCAAATACTGGTTTGCGAGCATGGGGAGCTCGTGATGCAGATGCTGCACTTCCATTATAGGCCCAAACTGCACTAGCCTGGGGAGCAGGGGTTCCAGACTCCACTCTCTTGCACGCTCCAGGCCGCTGTGGCTCCACACGAGGAAAAGAGTGAGATGACTTGTTTGCTTTGTCCTCCTGTTCTGGCAATGAGGAACGCAGCAATGATCCTGAGAAGGCATCCTGAGGTCGTAAAAAGGAAGACGTCTGAACAAAAACAAACAGCTCAAATCAAAAGGTCCTTGTGACATTTTTATTAGACTGGCTTGCACTGCATGTAGATTTCGCGTGCTCTGCACTTAGCATGCGACAAGTCGCGCACCGCTGAGCATCCCGAGGTGATTCAGGTCGCGTGTGTGAAGTAGGATCCCATGCGACTGCAGAGTTGCCCCCTTGCTCGAACCCAGACAATAATAAGGTGATCGGTCTACTGAACGCATACAGTCACCTAGTTATGATGCGTTGCTTATACATATGTAGTGCTAGTGAATGTCTCGGCTATAAAGAACTAATTTGCCTGTACAATGGTATTCGCTTGATCAGGAGTCGACTGTATTTACGCATACAGTGAAACCTGTCTTAAGACGACCGCTCGGGAGACCTTTAGAATGTGGTCTCCGTAACCAGGTGGCCTTCTTATACAGGGTCATTTGAGTGGACATACAGTATCATCCCGTGAACCTGGCTGCAGTGGTCTTCTAGGACAGGTGGTCGGCTTATCCGAGTGGTCGTCTTGACAGGTTTTACTGTACTTCAAAAGAAGAAAAAATTCACAAACGTTCATTTCGCAATGTACAAAGAGAAAATTTGAGAGAGAAGGGACTGGGCGAAAAAACATTCAAAGGATCAGTCGAGGAAGTGAACTGGCTGAAAAGAGAAAAAATGCCAGACCGACCAGGACTCGAACCCAGGACCTTGCTTGTCATGAGTAATGCTCTAACCAACTGAGCTATTGGACAAGGCCGAACCTAGAATTCTCTGACAGGTTTTGCACTCCAAAGACAGCTCTCAACACATGGTCCACATACTGATGTCACTTAGGTCGTTTTCCCTCCCCCAGGGGACCAACCACGGCCAGTTTCTGTAACGTGCTACCAAGGCGAAAGACAGTGACTAATTTGTAAAGAACATTTTTTCTCCTTTCATGCAGTTCACTTCCCCGACTGATCCTTTGAATTTGAATTTCTCACAATTCTTTAAAACAGTTTCCTCTGAGACAAAAATGCGATAATACTCATAAAAAGGACACACTTCAGGCTCATTACAAACATCTTGAAAGTTTTTGTCTTCACAAGTATACTTTCAAGCCTTCTCATCAGGTGAAATACAGGCAAGAGAAAAGGAACAGGAACAGTGGATTAAATACAGTAAGAAGGTGGTAAAACAGCGCAAAAAGAAAGAAAGAAAGAAAGAAGATAGCTAAAGTAAACAGCGAAAATTGCAATAATGACACAAAGGTGCAAATGCGAGAAAACTCAATAAGCGCGACATGTAGTGCGACAACAAGAGACAACCACTGGACATACATGTAACTAACGAGGTTTTGACGACCTACCTAACAGCCTAAGTGTGAATTTGATTTGTTTCTGTTTGCAAAGGTTGGGTTTCCTTGTGTGGATGTATACAGCTTCCAAAACATTCAGCAATCTAGCACTGCGTACACGTGACACAATCGAAAAACAATCATCCGAATACACAGCACGACAATCAGGATGCTCAAACAAATGACTAGCAATGGACGACTCATACTTATCAGAACTAACATCAGAACAATCAGCATGTGCGGTGGACACATCCGATTTCACATGGCTAGTCGAGTGGACCCTAGCCGTTGCCTCTGTCTGTGCTTTAGTCGCTGCCATCGCCGCCGTTGCCGATCTTGTTATTCTTCTGGTTGATGTGGTTCCTGTCACTGCCACGCACGTAGGTGTCTTGTCCGGTTGTTTTTCTGGTGGTCTAGTTAATTGTGAGGTGACGTTCCTTGGTGTTGATGCCGCTGCGTTGGACCATCTTGTACCAGGATGATTCTTTGCTGGACGTCCCCTCCGTGGTCGAGTGGATCGTGCGTGTTGTGGAATAAGGTGTAGCGGTGCGTGTTGTCGGATGCGTGCGTCCAGATGTTGAAGAGTCCTACCTACATATCGGCTCTCACATTGCCGACACTCGAAGTGATAAATCAACTTGGATAATTGGCCTGTAGGTAGGACGTCCTTCCTCACCGTGAACGCACGCACCGTGGAGTAGATGAAGCGAATATGAACATTATGGTAATTGGACTCCACGGCAGACTTAACCCGACGCTGAACCATACGTGATACTGACTCGCCCTTCCACGGTAAACATAGGTATACTGGATTAGCGGAAACTTCAGCATTCTTCTTTGGACTGGTCTCAGTTACATACTTCACAATAACAGACTCGGGGTATCCATTGAGACGAAAAAGCGCACGTAACTTCTCCAACTCCTGCTCCAACCTTGAAGACGAACAAAGGCGACGTGCACGATCCACCAAATTACGCAACAAATTGATCTTATACAGTGTCGCGCAAAACGAATCCCAAACAATGTACAAGCCAGTGAACGTAGGCTTGCGATAGACCGACGTGACAACACCACCATCAATTGACTTCTCAACGAGCACATCAAGAAAAGGTAGACGATCTGACTCCTCAAATTCACACGTGAAATCCAACATACCATCAACCACCTTCCTCAGCAGATCACGAAATTGGAGGCACTGAGCCTCAGACTGAAAATACGAGAAAGAATCATCGACAAATCTCACATACAATGGGGGCATCAAACTAACCGGAATCTGACATTCGTAATAACCAACAAATATATTTGCCAAAACAGGACCAAGGGGCGAACCCATAGCAACACCATCAATCTGTCGATACATGACACCATCAAAGGAAAACTCCACACCTGACGTTACCAAGCGGATCATTTCGCGGAACGAATCTTCACGTAACTCGCCAGGCGGACATAGTGAGCGATGATATAGCGTTTCGCAGCAAATATCAATGACTTTATCCAAAGGGACATTTGTGAACAGACTAACAACATCGTAAGAGCACATAACATAGGTATCGGGGAAGGAGTGGTCGCGCAGAATATCGACAAATTGAAAACTATCGCGAACTACATACCGACTGTATAATTCTAAAACGGGTTGCAACATTCTACACAGCCAGCGAGAAATCTTATACTGGGGAGAACCTAACATAGAAAGGATGGGCCGGACAGGACAATCCCTCTTATGAATCTTCGGTAAGCCATACATTCTAGGGCGAGCTGAACCCAAAGGCTTAAACAGAAACAAATCAAATTCACACTTAGGCTGTTAGGTAGGTCGTCAAAACCTCGTTAGTTACATGTATGTCCAGTGGTTGTCTCTTGTTGTCGCACTACATGTCGCGCTTATTGAGTTTTCTCGCATTTGCACCTTTGTGTCATTATTGCAATTTTCGCTGTTTACTTTAGCTATCTTCTTTCTTTCTTTCTTTCTTTTTGCGCTGTTTTACCACCTTCTTACTGTATTTAATCCACTGTTCTTGTTCCTTTTCTCTTGCCTGTATTTCACCTGATGAGAAGGCTTGAAAGTATACTTGTGAAGATAAAAACTTTCAAGATGTTTGTAATGAGCCTGAAGTGTGTCCTTTTTATGAGTATAATTCTTTAAAAAAAGAACATTTAGGGGAATTCTAGTTATGGTGCGTTACTTCCTGAGTTTTTTCAAATCGGAATTTCCAAAGAGGGGGTTGTTGCGACTTCGGTGATACTGAGAAACAAATATCCCTAGGAATTTGCAACAGGTATAAAGTAGAAGCAAATCTTCAGACTTTTCCCGTTTGTGTATTTCCCTCAAACCAGTGAATACGTTATGATTTGGGCTCCCCGCGTGCCAGTGTGTACGTGAAGTGTGTGGGTTACAGTGAGTACTACGTCTCACCCGCCTGTGTGGATTCACAGGAAGTATGAGTTACGAAGTCTGAAGAGAATGTTGAACGGTCTCTGCTGTGATGACGGCTACACCTTAGCTCCGCGGTTAGCGCATCGCTGGCCTCAGGCGAAGGTGCCTGGTTCGAATCCTGGTGATATCAGTCAATTGTTTCTTCAGACTTTTCCCGCTTGTGCCTTTTTGTGTCTCAAAGCAGTGAAAATCCACCCAAGTCGATAATACAATGTCATTATAGTTGGATTTGATGAATGCCACAATATACTTTGTATTCAGAAATTCAGGGTAGCCTTAGTTGACTGGTGCCGTATGCCCTGTTTGCTGCTAACATTTAGATATACAGGGGCAATCAGAGGCGTGTCAAGGCTTGGTGCAGCAAATCGAACAATATTTCTTGGTGATATCAACTGTATGGGTACGGAATCAAGTCTTCAGCTGTGTACGTCCCATACTCACAAATGCAGCAGTCTACAGAATGCCGGCGTTGAGTGTGGTAAGGGTATACAAACACAATCACAAAGCATACAAATATTTAACTTGTATGCTTTCAGCGCTGTTAACTCCCCTACCAAAGTGACTATCTACAGGACCATCATAGACATTTTTATGCGCTGAATGAATACCCACCAACCATCAATGCACTATGGTTTATATACTGGCCAAGTCCCACTGTACATGTCACAAGTCGCCTCATGAATGCATTGTGCATGACACTTGGAGTAGCGACATACTCTGCAATTTACTCTCTCTCTCTCGCTCTCTCTTTCTTCCTCTCTCTCTATCTCTCTCTCTATCTATCTATCTCTTTCTCTCTCTCTCCCTCTCTCTCTCTCTCTCTCTCTCTCTCTCTTTCTCTCTCTCTCTCTCTCTCTCTCTCTCTCTCTCTCTCTCTCTCTCTCTCTCTCTCTCTCTCTCTCTCTCTCTCTCTCTCCCTCTTGCTCTGACTCTGTCTCCCTGTCTCTGTCTCTGTCTCTCTGGCTTATTTTGTATGGTATCATGTTCCCTAGCCAAGACTGATACACGGATTGCTGATGGCCTGGCCTATATTGGTCGAGTGGATCTGTGGGTTGACTTCAGGTGGTCAGGGATTTGCGCAAGGTCAGGAAGCTGGACATTGGCCGAGGCTAATATTGTATGCCAAGGAATTGGGTAAGATTAGCATTGTGCAAACGTGGAACTCATAAATATTTGGTAATAGGAGAAGGACCAAACATTTACAAGTCTAAGGCCACCCAGCATTAATTCGTTGTTTCGGATCACTTCACTTATCCGTACCAGGGTTGGTCGGTCGGATTTTATAATAATTTTACAAGTATTATTTTATTAAGAACTCAGATGGTGAACCAAGGAAAAACTTTTGTAACATGGAAATCGTGGGCACAAGGTATGCGATCGAGTCCACCAACCAAACCCGATTTTGAACAGTCAGACGTTCACAATCTAGCACAAAACTGACAAGGAGTAGTGAGAAATTCCACGGCATGAAAGTCAGCTTGAGCACTGCTCGATAGCGCTAACCAACGGCCTTCTAACTTGGAGAGTTCATAGTTATTAGTACTAATTCCAAAAAGGGAAGACAGGCGCCATCGAACCGAGCACAAGCTACATTACAAGGCTTCATGGAATGCTGGCCTGGTAAGATGACGGGATGCCAAGACCAGATAGAACGGTCAAACCACAATTCGACAATGCTAAGCAACAACCACCCAACGTGAGAGGCTCAATATTATCAGGGATGAAAATATGAAGGGGAAGCTTCGCGAGGACGAATTGTAACAAACCGAATTCCAGTATCCTACAGTACTGTACTTAGTTGATGACAAAGATGGACTAGCTAATTGCACTGACATGTACATGTATAGCATCACACGACACAACCTGTCTGTCTGGTCTTACTGTCCCGTCATCATACCAGGCCAGCATTCAATGAAGCCTTGGAATGTAGCTTGTGCTCTGCTCGATGTTATTGTTATTCTGACTCACCGGCATCTTGATGATATTTGTTTTAAATGTTGGAAACAAACAACGTATAACTTGTGCACTTTTGGCCCTCCTCTTTCAAATAAATGGTGCTGTGGACTTTATCGATGTCAATTCTCGCATGCGCCGATGCTGCAGAGCCAGAGAACAGTACGATCTGCACAGTTTTAGACTGCCGACCATTTTCTTTCCTTCTCTACACTGCAACATAGAGAATCATGGAATTCTATAGAATTCGATTTTTAAATATTTACAAAATAATTAGGGGAGTGATTTATGAATTCATATTACCCTTTCGTCAAGACGTCTTGATGCACGGGAACGTTATCAAACCCATCGTGAAAATACTCCCACTATTGTGATGGCCGCAACACTCCCGATGGAATAATTATAAGGTCGCTGTGAAACGTCTTTTACGGGCAAAAGAAACAAAATGGCTGAAAATGCAATACAAATTTAATGCAAACCCATAAAACCAGAGAAGGAAAAAGCCAGAAGAAAAAACTCGGATGTTGAGCCAATAATAAATGTTGAAAGGAAAAGGACATATGGATACGAGTTTAGAGTAAATCTCCATCACTGTAACTAGATACTGTAGGCAGTCAGAAAGTGCAACAACTAGGAACAAAAGTGACGGAGTACTGAGACATTCGACGTCCTGATACCTTGCTTTAACGCATTGTTTTGCTGCGCTTACCTTCCCCTCTTTGGTCTTTCCATAACCTTGAACCTTCCGAGTTGGAAGGCTGTCGGTTAGCGTTACGGAGGTGTGTTGAAGCTAGGTGTCAGGACATCGAATGTCTCAGTACTCTGTCAGTTTTGTGCCTAGTTGTTGCACTTTCTGACTGCCTATAGTATCTGGTTACAGTGATGGAGAGTTACTCTTAACTCGTATCCATATGTCTTTTTCCTTTCTACAAAAGAAAAAAAACGTGTTTGATTAACACTATGTACGTGGTATACTTGTAGCACCACTCCAAAACTACAGCAGCACATAATACAGATTAAAATGCAATTAAAATCATAAGAACTAAGACAAACAACACCTCACAAATGGCCCTTCACAACAGCCAACTCTCGGAGTGCATTGACTGGACGGTGGTATGCCGAGCGGGAGCCGCGGATGCACGTTATGGCAGCTCTTAGCAGAGGGAATGCTAAACGAGTCCGGATATAGCACATCATTAACTTCTTGTTGTCGTTGCTAGCCAGCATACCGCACAAACGCTTGAGGAATCGGTTGGTTTCTGGCGACGTACATCCGGTCTTGGAGAAGATGAGGGGAGTGAAAGTCCCACGATCGACATGTATGATACGCTCAGCGTATTCCAACTTCTGTCTCCGTTTGTGCTCCAGGAGAAGGGCGTTAACTGGCTTCTTTGCATATGAGCCGGGTCCCGATGAAAAAACCGAATATCTACAAATGCGTCCTGTGCCCTGGTCCAGAAACCTCGCATCTTTATGTCAGCTCTTGCGTCATCCACAACATTCGTGCTGCCTGCTCGGAACACTTCACCAGTGACAGGAGCAAGCGGAGACTCAACCAGTACACTCTTGCACACCTCTGTAAGCAGGTCGGCTACCAAATCCCTCACCTCATTGTGGCGGATTGTGGGAACGCTTTCCGTTGGACAGCACATGGCATGAGTTACGGAGAAGGTCTCTCCACAAACACATGTGGCTGGCACACCCTTCAAAGGCCACTCATAACGTAGGGCAAGCGCATTCCGAAAGTCACCCTTTGACAGATGATAGCCATGTCCATCAAGTGGCAACGCATTCAACCACGTTGACACTCCCTTCTTTGAGATGGTTCAGCCTCCGAACAACTGCATATGAAGCTGAGTTGCGAATCTCATTGTACATAATTATTCTCTTCCTCCAGGCGTCGCTCCCGACCAACAGCGGACTTTGCGCGCAACGCGGACTCGATTATAGCACGTAGAGATCTAGGTAACCACGATGCGTCATGTTGGTTAACAATCTCAGCCACCTGGAAATCAGTTACGAACCGAGACGAGGTTTATTCACAAGCCGCCATCGGCAGGAAGCGCGGGATAGCAAGCCCGCCAGGGTGCGTGGGCAAGCGCAATAATGATAGCTACTCATCAGTAAAGACTTTTCTCCCTGTGAGCGCCGGCAGCAATTCATTTGTCATGATTATGGTCAAGAGAAATCAAACAATCATCGGGGGATGGGACCGTGCGCAACATGTAGGTCCATCGACCACGCGAGCCATGAGTGATAGCTGTAGAGGCAGCATGCGGTTCAGTGTGCGCAAAGACAGTGAGGCGTCGTAATTCAACAATCCATTTTTCAACTGTTTCCTGCACATTGTTTGCAATTGCACTAGTCTCACCAATTTCCGCACCCAAGTATTACACAGTACCAGTAACTATTCGTATACCACTATTATGGAAAAGTGAGATGCCTCTTCAACCATGCCAGGCTCTACCAGAACCAGAGTCTTCTTCGAATTGGTGTAATACTCAAATAGCCATATTTTGACCGTTTTCTAGTAGACTTTCCCACCACAAGCGCAGACATCGCAGCCTTCCTCCATCGCTGGAGTCATCCGCATACCACGTCTGGCAAATGGACGGGCAATCTGCCTGAAGGCGCTGAACCAAAGGCAGCGTGGCAAGGGCATAAAAAGCACCATATAAAGGGGATCGCCCTGTGTAGTGCCCTCTTGCGAGGCCAACTGCCCACCACTACGCACCGGCGGATTATGCCGGCAGAAAATGTTGAGGGGCAGCAGCTCTGTTAAGGCTATTAAATGCATTACGCGCGTCCCCTAGCAGAATGCCTTCTTTAGACTGTTCAATAATTATAAGGTCCTGAAGGAATAATTGTAATGAAGCTGAGTTGTGAGAGATGTCTTATGCATGGCGTTTTGTCCGCATCGTATTTTCACTTTTTACTTCTCAGCTGAAATTTGATGCTGAATATTAGCGATGATGCTGAATATTATGGCATGTGTTCTGTAGGTACCAGCGAGCAACTCGTGTCATACCTGACTGGACCGTGCGTAGCACCTCTGCTATCACTCTGCAGAATTTACAGTGTAAAGGAGACGAGACAAGCCTAACACAATGCAATTACTGGGCTCCTAGGCGTGGCTGTGGTCCTGCTAGTGCTGGAGTTGAATGCGGTAGGTCAATTCAGCTACTAGTATAATGAGCCGTGATTAAGCGATCACCAGACGGCATTCTATTGGACAGCCTGGAACCTCTCTGTTCTTAATCCATGATTAGCAAACACAGACCTATAGGTCAAACATTTTCAAAATTGGTTTTTTTGACTAAACATTTTGTTGGTCTCAATGTGACGGCCATGTAAAGCGACTTATACTGAGCTTGTATACAAACTCCCATCTCTTCCCACACAACACTTCAGACAGGATATATAGACCGAGTAAAAGACCGAGGTCCCCCGAGGTCTTTTACGAGGTCTATATATCCTGTATAGACCAACTATGAGGTCTATAATCTATTTATCGTGTTCTCCACGCAATAGTTTCTCTTCATATACGACATATCCTTGTAATTCTAGTATTATACTATAGCCTATACCGCATTGTACTGCATTGAAAGTCAAGATCATTGTTTAAACTAGGTTCAGCATCGGTAGCACAGTGGCTGGGTGGTAAGGAAGAGTGACTGAGATTCACAAGGTTGTGGGTTCAAATCCCATCTTGTGTATTTCTGCTTTCTTCTAAAATTTCTTTTTCTAAGTTGGAGAGAAAATTTCTAAGTCCAAGAAGTTCTAAGGAGTCAAATATAAGTAGTCAAATATATCGTGTATTTGACTAAGCAGTTTGTCCCAGCCTTACACTTACACTAATTTGCCTTACACTTTTCCCACAATTGTCACTTCGATTACGAGCATTTTAAAGTGCAGAACAAGCAGGCAAATTAGCAATGTTTCGCAGAAATAACAAGTAGTACCAAAAGTAAAATAAGCGAGAATTCGCCGACGGTGCCTACCTTCGAGGTTCGGATAAGAGATCACAGTTATGGTTGTTTCACGATGGGTGGCGTCGGACCAACAGCACAACATATTTTGTAAAAAAAAAAAAAGTAAATTATCGTGTCCGTTCCTGAAGGGAACTCACGACGGCCGCTAACACCCGATAAATCCTACAACATATTTGTGAGTGAAAATAAGTCCGTTACGTCTTCCGCTCACTTCCTTTGTCTGGCAGTGTCTGCCTGTACGAATACCATCATTTATGTTTACAGGGGCACTCTTCGATTCTATAATTATTATGTCGCCCATCCAGCTGACACTATTGCACAAATATGGCATTGTTCGATTTCCTTCCTAAATTGTTATTGTAGAGGTATTGCGCCTCCGTCCCTACTCTTCAACTCAAAGTAACATTGGAGAATTGGAAGTATTTGAAAATGGACGATGGGGAAATATTTGCGCCAATCGCTGGACGCTTACCGAGGCCAATGTGATCTGCCGGCAGTTATTGTAAGTTGTGTTAGTGCTGAATAGAAATGACTAAATTTCCATAGTCAGATGCAATTCTTGTGTGAAAAAAGCTAATGCTGGGTGTGGTACATAAGAACTCATGTGACCCTACAAATTGACTGTTTCGTATAATAGCAGTATACAACAACATAGTTATCTTCTAACGTAGAAGCTGCGGCGAACTCAGCCATACAAAATTTGGTAACACTCCAACAATCTACATAGCGCTCTTGGCCCTCATTCACAACACCACACTGGAGTAACTCCACACCGAGGAAATTCGATCTCGGGTAGATGTTCCATATCTCGTCCTCCTCAAACCGTACCCCAACTCTCTCTTTCTCTCTCTCAGCTCTCTTTTTATCTGTCTTGTCTTTCTCTTTTTTCTTTGTTAACTTTCCCGGTTGTTATGTTCTTTTCAAGTTAATAAGACAAAAATCCTCCAGACAGCTGTTTAGCTCCTTGTGAGCTCCTCAGGGTGAGGAAGATAACGCATGAATACATTGAATTGTAGATAAAGGAATGTACATATTTTTATAGGGTAAAGGTGGAGCAGTTGCACCCTGTCCATATGGAAAAGTCGTCCAAAGTCACAAAATCAGTTTTGAATGCACTTTATATTTCCTTGATCTAGATATCCAAGAGCAATTCAGGCCATAAGGCAGCCAGGAGGGCAAAATCGATCTCTCACTGAAGTCAACTGTATTGGAAATGAGAGAAGTCTTCTAGAATGTAGCTACCAGCAGTCAGGCAACAACACATGTAGCACTCCCCTCAATGCTGGTGTTGATTGTGGTAAGAAGACGTGTGGATAAGGTTTCGGTATCCAAGCATGTATCTGTTTGAGAGCTGTTCAAATTTGGATCCTATCACGAAATCTGTCAGGTTACATACCTACTTTGTTGCATATGTGCAATTGACTTTTCTGGTGATATTGGAGCCGCACCTGTCATTATGAATTTCAGGAAAAGGTTCCTCCTTGTCAGAGGATTCCTTCTTTTTGCTACACATGTGTGTGACGCGGTGTGTTTCTGTCCATAACGGCCACACCTGTAATGCTTTCGGGCTCCACAAATTTCCTAGTTCGAGTCCCAGTTACTCATTATTATTATTAAATCTGACTTTCTGTTGTTTGAGATGTATAATCCTAGAACAGCCACCACTTGCAGTACTCCTAGAACGGCCAACCGGTGTCATTGGACACCTGCATACATTTCCATGCCTACGACCAATATAATAGTTTTGTTTTCAGTGCAGGCTATCACTAGCGGCATTTATATTGTACACTACACATTAGGATTCACCCAGACACTATTTTTGGCTATAGTCACCAAAGTACAATGCCAAAGAAAAATACGACCAGATATTTGTGTAAGGACGTGTCTCTATACTGTTTTCTGTTCAGCTGATCTTCCAGTAAGACTGATGGATGGGTCATTCTTAGCATACTCGCGTGGTACTGTAGAGGTTCGTAATCATCTTGGTTCTTGGGGTACGGTTTGTAGCCCTTCATGGTCAATACTGGAGGCTAACGTTGTCTGCAAGCAACTTGGGTAAGCAATTTTAACACCCGTAGCGAAGAAGCCAATTAGATGAGCATCAGTGCACTGTTTTCTTGTGGCCAAGAGCTTTAATCCCGCAATTAATATCTAACCCGCAGAAAACAAACAGTTCTTGGTTACACCGCGCAAATCAATTGCATTCGAATTTCACGCAGGAGGGCATCACCTGGCATATAGAATACGATACAAATAGGAGGTTAGTTGTTCCTACGTGGAACATGATATGCTTTCTGCCGAACTTGAGACTTTCCTGACTCACAACTGCCATCCCGAGCACACAAGGAGCACGTCCCACCTTGCACTCGGCAAACCTCCAAGAAAACACTGCTCCCTGCTCAATACACAGTGTTTCGGGGGAATTCACCCCTCATCGGTTGAGCTTGAGTAGGCTGAGGAAGATTGTACGTGAGAAGTATCATTACTTATAATAGTTTTCTCATGCCAAACCAGCAACAATGATGCAAACGTACAGAAATGCTCTATTTCCAGCTCAACAAACGCAGCAGATAGAGATTTAAAAGTGGAGCGCTTTTTTTCGAGGCGTGCTGTGTCTGGGAGCTGGTTCCACAGGATAGCTCCAGCATGGCTAATGCGCTTAGCTGAGGATGCAGTGGTGGACACAGGAATGATGAGTAACTTGCTGCTCCCTCCTCGTGTTCGGAGAGAGGGACTACGGGTGAAAAAGCTTGCAAACAGAGTACTTGAACATTTGTTCAGGCAGCGCCACTTGACAGATTCTCAACTGCCGTAACATTGGGCATGATTGCCCGTTTGACTTGCGAGGTATAATAAAAACAAATTCATCCATCCATCCATCTGTCCGGAGCACCCAAGGCGCACAACCCACCTTCCACTCTAACCTCCAGAAAATCACCACTCCCTGCTCAATACACAGTGTTTCGGGGAGTTCACCCCTCATCAGTTGAGCTCGAGTAGGCTGAGGAAGATTGTGCCTAAATATTCACCACCTATTTATTAGTGCATGCTCTACGGGCCAAACCGTCACCAGGAATCCAAACTCACAGAGACGCTCCATGGGGATTTCTGGCAGGTTACACGCAGGAATATACCAACTTCTTCAAAACTAATGCTACCGAATTCGCTAATTCAAAGGTTTGATACAAATATGGCTAATGTAGTGCAGAACAGGGATAGAGTATGCAGTAATAGTATGCAACAAGGCACAAGCTAGGGCTAAGGCATCACGATGTGAGTTTGTAATGCTACTGCATTTCAATGTTGACAAATAATTGCCAGGCATGTGCAAAGTATAGTGCATGTACTGTACATGATACTTCTTTTTGAAGTGATTGTATAAGAAATGAAGTTGATTGTTCCAACTAGGAACACACGCTTCTTGCCGAACTTGACACTTGACTGACTCACGACTGCCATCCGGAGCACACGAGGAGCACGTCGCACATTCCACTCGGCAATCCTGCAAGACAGCACCACTCCCTGCTCAATACACGGTGTTTCGGGGAATTCACCCCTCATCAGTTGACCTTGAGTAGGCTGAGGAAGATTGTGCCTGAAAAGCACCACTTATATACTGCTCTCCAGGCCAAACCATCACCAGGGATACAAACTTACAGAGACGCTTTGTTTCCAGCGCGACAAACACCCCTGGTGATGGTTTGGCCTGGAGAGCAGTATATAAGTGGTGCTTTTCGGGCACAATCTTCCTCAGCCTACTCAAGCTCAACTGATGAGGGGGTGAATTCCCCGAAACACCGTGTATTGAGCAGGGAGTGGTGCTTTCTTGCAGGTTTGCCGAGTGGAATGTGCGACGTGCTCCTCGTGTGCTCCGGATGGCAGTCGTGAGTCAGTCAAGTGTCAAGTTCGGCAAGAAGCGTGTGTTCCTAGTTGGAACAATCAACTTCATGACTATTACCGCCGTAGTCGCAACTTCTAAGCTTATATAAGAAATGTTTTTTTTATTCTCTGTGTGTGTGTGCGTTACTTGATCATGTATTTGAGTAGAACAATACAATAGTGCCTGTAGGCGGACGGATTTTCAAGCTTGATTGGGCACGCGTGGTTTTTACAAAATCATTATTAACCAAAAATTCAATCTAGAGCATGGAAGTGAATAGCAACTGAATAGAGCGATTGTCACATGAAAAAACCTTTTTTACAATATTGCTTCGCAGATTTATTGGTGCCAATGCGACTATCACTGGAATCGGACGCCATATTGCTGTCAATATCAACCATCCAAAGTGCAATGGAACTGAGAAGAGTCTTTTCGAGTGTTCAATATCATCATCCTCATTTTGTCCGTATTGGTTCGACAGTGTTGGAGTGGACTGCGGTAAGTGTGTGGCATCACACCAATGTAGTATGATGAACGCAAACCTGAGATAGGGACAATGACATACCTAGCTATGAATTTATATACTAACGTAGCTGTGAGGCATGCGGCAGATGCACCTTTGGGTGCCTATTACCACCCTCGATATCGAAACGGTTGCGGGCAAATCAGGGTGGCTGGCAGGTATGCGAACAATCCACCAACATTTGCGGATAATCTAGATTGCAGTTTCCTTGCTAAGAGTGTGATATTCGCTAGAGAACTGTTGCTGCAAGGACAGAGAGGACTACTGCCTTGCTCTAGGCATCTTTGCAGCATTCATGTGCGATCATTCTGTTACGTGGTATATGTACATGCGAAATACTTATCATAGGAATGTATCACCCATTCACTAGAAACCCAATGGTACATGGTCCGTAGGAACGTGATACTAGTACATGCACACTGATAAAGACACCAATACATGCAAATCTCAGACTATCACTTATGATTACTTGGTCACGTGCTTACACTTCCTGGCATCTAGCATGCTGCCGACGGCTCTAGACCCTGCCTTCACCATATAAACTCAAAAGGTACCATTTGCAAGCGCTTCTTGGAAGGGGAATGGTGTGTTTTTCAGCGGCCCCACTAACCACAGGTATTTGGACAATCGTGCCATGGAATGAGGGCAGCATGGGCGTAGGTTCAATTTTAGTTCCAAACTACTTCTTTCCCTGTGCATAGCGATCAATTACGTATTTTCCAATGCCTCAATTGTGTCTTTCTCTTAGACACAACCGCCAGCCGAATTGTAGGTGATCCACTCACGCCTGGCTATGGCGGTCAAGTGGAAGTCGATGGAAATGGACAATGGATGAGCGTATGTGCAAGTAACTGGACACTGGCACAGGCCAGTGCGGTATGTCGAAATTTAAAGTAAGTAGAAAAAACGACGGCGTAGAGAATTAACTCGTAAAGTTGGTAAATTATACTTGTGCTATGAAACACCCCATTCCAATGCCCTCAATATCGAGTCATATTTTCTGTTGAAATAACGGAAGTTGTTCGAATGTGCAGCGCTATGGAAATGGGTGTGCCCATCCGAAGTCCTGATTTCAGGCCTTCCACTTGCATTACACTGCGAAGGAACTCGATTATACACAGCATTACTGCTCCATCACTCGGTAGGTTATCAATATTTCCAACGCTGCTTGACCTTCAGCTGATGTGATTACGGAGGTGAAGCATTGACAGCCGTAAAGCGAATCACAGTATTATGAGCATTCTTCAAGTACTTGTTCTACATGGTTGTGAAACAATTGTCCTGTCCTAATGTCGCTCATCATACAAGTCCAAAATCATAAGAAATCTTGTGTATAAAGTAAAAAAAGTAAATTATCGTATCCGTTCCCGAAGGGAACTCACGACGGCCGCTAACACCCGATAAACCCTAGCGGCAGATGCAGCGCCTAACGGTGGGGGTGAGTGGGTAAGTCTCACAACCACTGGCACAAGTGCCGAAAGCGACCCCATTAGCTGCATCCATGTACCCCTTGTGCCTGGCCACAAGTTCCCAGTTGACTGTGGGTAGCAGCACGGCTGGAAAAACCGCTCCCAGGCAGGACTTGAACCAGGTACCTCTCGTATCTCAATCATGGTCTTTGACCAACCCACTGTGCCTGCCCTATCTTGTGTATACAGGGATAGAAATTTGTGTGAAGAAATGTAGCTCTAATGGCATAAAATCTTCTTCTACACAAACAAAAGTGTGGGTAAAGAAATTGCTGAGCAGGTTTGAGCAGAATTAGGGAAGGTGGTGGGTTGGCAAATATCCACAATGTCCTTTCCAGTCTAAACGTTGAAAGTTGACAAATGTGTGAACCCTGATTTTAATTTCCCTTTATTACCGGCCTGCAGACTTTCGATCATATTTGATCGAAAGTCTGTAGGCCAGTAATATCTTCGTAACTCCATCATTTCTTGTGCGAATTCAACAATCGAAAGGTCTATTTGGTAGCAGAAACTCCAAGCTATCCAATGCAACAATCGCCGAAGAGTTACGATGTCGGACGCCTGAGATATCGCGCGCCGTATTCTCATCTCGGCAAATTCAAATTTTTGATCGATCACTTCGCCATTTTTGGGGAAAATCCCTTTTCGTGTGCTCTTTGAGCGACTAAGCACATGATAATGACGTAGTCGGCTGAAGTTTGAATCGTCTCAAACAAATTTGAGCGTTCTGCGATGAAGGAGAGTGGAATGGCGTTGATGGGACGAATTTGCTTGCATATCAGGCTTGGAGACGACTTTGCTGTGTTACCGCGCCTGATTTGTGGCGACTGGATAATGGAGCTTGGTACCCTGGCGCTGCTCTCGCCAAGAGCTTTCCAACGAGCCCTAGATTGTGAAAATCAAGTGAAGGAGACCAAAGTTATGACCTGGTGAAGTTGGAAATTGTGCTGAAATTCGTAATTCTGGTGCATGCTGTGCAAGTAATCCGGTAATAAAGGGTTAAGTCCAAGGTTGCTACTCTCTACATGATTATACATTCCTTATAGTGCCAGACTGACTCCCCTCCTGACGACATCCTACCACCTGAACTGCAGTATGCGGATGATCTAGACTTCATTGGAACTGATGAGCAAGAGCTAGAGGACGTTCATGATCAATGTGCAGAGACCCTCCCAAGCCATAACCTCACCGTTAATACCTCCAAAACTGAACGAACAAAGATATACCTGGCTGATGATCTGGAGGAGCGTGGTTCCGAAGCATGGAGAAATGCGAAGTCGCTGGGATCACGGCTAGGCTCAGCGCAAGATGTCCAAGCCAGAAAGGCCCTAGCAACCCAGGCATTCTGTTCGTTGTACGCACTCTTCAAGCATCAGTCTACCTCACTACTGCTTAGAGTTGCGCTGTACAATACCTATGTGAAGCCAGTGCTGTTGTAGAACTGTGCGACATGGGGTCTCACAGATGCCACCACCAGAGGGATTGACACCTTTCATCGAAGGCATCTGAGAACAATGGGTGCCGTTAAGTTCCCGAACACAATTACCAACAAGCATCTGTACGACATCTGCGGCTCAGCACCAATTTCGCTCGAGATTGACCAACGGCGTTGGGAATTCCTTGGTCACGTACTGAGAATGCAGAAGAGCTCTCCCCCACAGCGCGTGTTAGAGTTTTCAGCCACCGCGAGCCTGCGCGGTCGACTGGGCCGACCCAGGACAACTCTCCTCTCAGCTCTTTCTCAGGACTGCCTAGCCCGACTCGGCATTCGCCTGGGCACGCTTAGAGGCCTTAATCAGCTGCGGCAGTTGGCAGGGGATAAGTCACGGTGGAATGGCACCCCGCGGCACTCATCTTCCTCTGCCGAGCCGCGTCCTTGACTTATCCCCTGCAGGGTGAACATCGTGCACGAACAGTCTACCGTCTTTCTGACATTGCCACTCGAACTTGACAATAGAAGCTGCTTTTCGTATGTGCAGTTACATTGATGGTGTTTTTGTCTTATGTTTGTGAATCCTTCCCGGAAGCAAATGCTGGTTTTTATGCATTCGTGTAATTACTCAGCGTTATTTGCAATAATAATAATAATAATAATAATATAGTGCCAGACAGATAAACCTAAGAAGCAGCAGGGCTCGTAGCTGAAATGCCCATAATTATTATAACATCAGCACGACAGAGGGAGGCATAGTGGGATGGTCTAAGATCATGATTGAGAAACAGAGGGTACCAGGTTCAAGTCCTGCTCGGAAGCGGAAGGAATTTTTCCAGCCGTGCTGCGACCCACAGTTAATTGGGAACTCGTGGCCTGACACGAGGGTAACATGGATGCAGCCAATGGGATTTCGGTCTTTGACCACTTGGTGGTGGGTCTGATCTACTCACCCCCCACCGTTAAGGCGCCGCATCTGCGCCTTTATCCTAGAGGGTGGTGGCGTTCCCACGGCGGAACGGCGGATGCGGAAAACTCGGCTTCCAGTCGAGTCTCACGCGAACCGTGAAATTTATTAATTTTAACATCAGCACGAAGAGACGAAAAGATCTGATTGTGGATCTGATGAGGCCTTTCATACCATTACTTCTCAAATCAGTACAATGGTGATACTGTGACGAAGCACAACGATGTCAGTTAATACGGCATATCGGCGGAAGAATTGTGATGAAACGTACACAGGCTGAATGATGGTGTGAGCTTGCCTCATAAGGATTTACAACTGGCTTCGTCTCTTCGTGTGATAGTGTGTTTCCCTCCGACTAAGTCTCTATCATATTATCGTACATTTGCAAGACTCCTTTAATGTAATGAAGTACAGTTCTTTAGGATCGATTTCCGTGCATTCTCCCACTGTGCTGTCTAGGTATGCGGGAGTGTATTCCGTCACCAGTCAGAAACAAATCACTTCGAATTACTCGCTAGTTCTGGATAATCTTCACTGTGATGGAAATGAGACTAATCTGCTGCATTGTAGTCACGATGGTGTGGTGAATCGCACATGTCCAGACTTCAAGCTAGCAACCGTAGAATGCCGTAAGTGATACATGATTCATTTTTCTACAATACTCTTAATCAATACTCTTAATCAATGGATGACCTTGCTTTTAAAATATCCTGACCACAAAGCCCGCGCGAGAACATTTCCAGAAGGGTCAGGCTTGGACAGAACACAGTCTAAAATGTTCGTGATACTCTTTCTCCTGATCGCAGCACATTTTGTTATCTAGTCATAATAATCTTGTCGAAACACTGAAAACTGTAAAGAGGATACCTCACTTTGTCATGAACCTGATGTCTCTAAAAGCCATCAACAGCTTACCTTTCCCTTCCCTTTCGGCATATATGTGGAGTGGTATTCTGCCTGACAGCGCTAGGGATGCCTTTCATCACAAACAGCGCACGCCATTAGACTATGGCACAAACACACCTAGGCGAAATGTATGTAACAATAACTCTACTTCCCAGTATTACGAATATTCACTCCACTGCAGCTTCTGCTGCTTCATCTGGCCTTGCAGCTATTGCTCTTTATAATACTGTTGGCAACTTTCTAGGGCTCCTTCTGCTGCTCCCGCTGCTGCTGCTGCTTCTGCGGCTGCTGCATCTTAATGGCTGATGATTCTGCTCCTCCTTTAACTGCTGCTGCTACTTCATGTACCACTACCACACCCAACTATGAACTCTCTGTATTACAGCTAGTCACGTGCGATATTTATACTGGACATGGCGGGCTCACCAAGCAGGGATTGCTTGCTGCCAACGGGCATATATGATATGATTTTAATCTCTGTGTGGTGTCTTCTGCAGGGACTATTGAGATCTCCGTACCACCAGAGAGCGTCATTGCAAACCAGGGATCCAATGTGTCACTTACATGCTCTGCACATGGCAAGCCTGCACCACAAATAGCATGGACATTTAACGGTACCCCACTGGCTCCTGCACTATACTCAGTTAACACAGAACCGAACAGCCTGGCTCAGTACAGTAGTAAATATATTTCCTCCTCGACACTGGCGATTACGGATGTATCCTTCAATGCCAGTCTTGGAAACTATAGCTGCATTGCAAGTAATAACGTTTCGACCCATGAATCAAGTGCACAGGCTACTATCACAGTGCATGGTAAGTTAAACAGTTCTTACCCAAACACATTCCGCGAGTGTCACAATCACATGTATCTCTATGGTCTAAAGACCATTGAAACATCAGTCCTGCCGGCATACACATGTACTGTGAATCTAGATATACTCGGAGTGATATTTTACAGGGAGGACGAGTACCAAGGAACTACAAAACATGCTCTTATTATTGTTATACGCACGTCCGCGTTTACGGCAACAGTAAGTCCACGTATTCGCATGTGCCAAAAGAGAGGCAGAGTGGGCAGAGAGGAAAAAAAATGTAAAACATATGTAAGACAGCAGGCGATAGGCACATAACTCATGTTCGATGATAGGTGCTCAATGCTAGCCCTTTCCCAAAGGTGCTCGCCCTTTTTTCGCCCTTTTTGACCCTTTTTGGAAAAGCCCGTTTCTTTTGCCCTTTATTGTGTTTTTTGGTGAATATCGCCCTTTTTGAGCTTTTTTGGCAGAAAAAGTGCCAAAATCTTTCTGCTCATGCATGTGATTACAGTTTCCGAGTGCTCGATGGGCCTTGGCGCGTCGCTTTTTTGGGGGCAACAAGTTGGTGAAGCTTGTACCCGGTGTACACAATGCTGTAAAAAGTGGGGGTTTTGAACTTTACTTCCTGTTTTGCCTTTCGTGAACCCATAAATGGAAGACTGCATATTCATTTCTCAGCTTGGGTTCATATCTCTGAACATGTATCATGGCTATGCTTCACTGAAAAAAGAGCACTTTTTACCTGTTTTCACTGAAAAAAGACACTTTTTGCCCATTTTCACTGAAAAAAGAACACTTTTTCAGCATAATATCATTTTGAGGGACGCGAAAAGCACTAAGTTCGAATTAAAAGAGCACCTTTGGGAAAGGACTACTCAATGCACGGGATCTATTCGAAAGATCAAAAAATAAAACAAGAATAACAGACAACGGCGATAGGTTTGTAACTCAGGTAAAAAATAATGCTCTAGGGTCCATTAGTACCATCAGACCATTAGAAACTCGACAATCAGAGTTAATGTGATACCATTGCACAACACTGACCGATATCAATTTCCATTCTCAATCTTATTCTCAATCAATCTGTCGTACCGGTACTTGTAAACAAAAGGCACACGCGAGGTGATCGTTGGTAGGTATTGATTCGTCGCAAAAAATGGACAGTACGCAGTAGTCATTCGGATGGTCCCTTGGGTGCGGGGAGCTGTGTGTCAAGTACGAGCGAATGTAGAAGTGTAAGAAGTTTTTAAGTGTGAGAAGTGTGAATAGTGCCAAGGGTGAGAACATAATCGATCCCCCAAGCCTGCTATTGGTGATGTTGAAAGTCTCATATATTTTCCCTATTTTGAACCGAGGCCCCAGAGGCCTGAAATTTGTTGCAGTTGAAATTATTATTTTGCAAGGTACGTCGTTGAAAAAGATGGTACAGGCAGCGCCAGTACAGTGTGTAAGTCTTACTCAGCCGAAAATGTTTTAGCCCATGGATTCTGAAATTGAAACGCGCTGACAACTTGTAGACTTACATTGAGCCATTCTGAAAATAATTATCAGAAGAACCAGAAGAACCAGGGAGCAACAGAGAAACTAAGTCTTAGTATCTTCTTCCAAATGCTTACAGGCAATGTAGGCAATATGAATTCATTTGCGCTCAAAGGTGACAGCTTGCAATGAACAATCGACCTAAACTAGCCATAACAACATGATATATCCTGAGGACAACGAAGAAGCCGATCAATTGACCTTGATTAGCCTTGTAGGGATTTGCATCCAGGGACTTAGTGTATGCAGAAACACCGTTCCACCTCTCCTGTATTGATAATTTTGCATTTTACACTTGCGTGTGGATCGTTGCAGTTTTACCAGTGGGACTGGCGCAGAACGCACACCAGGCGGTGACAACTGGCCAGCAAGTGAATATGACTGTTCTTTTGACGGATTACGGATATCCAGCTGTTCCGCTGTGGAACATTACTTGGGCAAAGGTGCGTGATGTCTACTACCTCCAGTAACACGTCATGCAGTGGTTTAATAATAAATAATAATAATAACCCATTACACAAGCGAGGGTCCCTGGTTCGAGTCCTGGTGGTGACAGTCAATTTTTTCTTCAGACTTTTCCCGTTTGTATTTTTCCCTCAAACCGGTAAATATTTTATGACTTGGGCCTCCCCGCGTGCTAGTTTGTACGTGAAGTGTGTGGGTACAGTGAGGGCTGCGTCCCACCCGCCTGTGTGGATTCACAGGAAGTGTGAGTTGCGAAGTCTGAAGAAAACGTTGAACGGTCTCTGCTGGGATGACGACTACACCATAGCTCGGTGGTTAGAGCATCGCTGGCTACAAGCGAGGGTCCCTGGTTCGAGTCCTGGTGGTGACAGTCAATTTTTTCTTCAGACTTTTCCCGTTTGTATTTTTCCCTCAAACCGGTAAATATTTTATGACTTGGGCCTCCCCGCGTGCTAGTTTGTACGTGAAGTGTGTGGGTACAGTGAGGGCTGCGTCCCACCCGCCTGTGTGGATTAACAGGAAGTGTGAGTTACGAAGTCTGAAGAAAACGTTGAAGGGTCTCTGCTGGGATGACGACTACACCATAGCGCAGTGGTTAGAGCATCGCTGGCTACAAGCGAGGGTCCCTGGTTCGAGTCCTGGTGGTGACAGTCAATTTTTTCTTCAGACTTTTCCCGTTTGTCTCTTTCCCTCAAACCAGTAAATAATAATAGTAAAAATAGTATGAACAGGTCGCATATAGCCCGCATAAAAAAATCATACGGGGTCATGCATCTGTCAATGATCGTTAACCAGAGTTGCTTGTTGGTGGCGAGGTTGAGGCATTCCTGAATCGGCACATTCAGAGGTTCGAGGTCTTCTCTGATGTTGTCGACCCATCTCTTGTGCAGTGGTTTACCCAGTAGTAAATATGTGATTGTGTTCTTACCTGCTCAACTGTACAGCGCCGGTAGCCGAGAGCGTTTTGCATCATTTTCTTACTGTGTGCATGGCTGTTTTCTTAGGATGGTGATCCGTATTGGAAGAGCTTATCACCAGGACATGTGCTGTCCCGTAACAACCTTTCACTGGTTATTCTCCGCGCGCAATTCAGTGATTCTGGAACTTACGTGGCTAGACTTGGCAACCTTGCTGGATACATCCATGTGAAGTTCAATATCTCTGTGCAAGGTGAGTTGCTAAATGCTCTAATCCTAGCGTATAGTTTCACCACCTTTACATTTTTCGTGATAACATTGACCCCCTGATGCAGTCGAAGTAGCAACAAGAAGTAATATAAAAAAACTTCCTTGAAGTATTACTACGGAGGATAAGCAAGACGAAATTCGCGTTCGCGTTCGCTCTCCAAGGAAAGTAGAACTCAGTGACGGAATTCGCGTTATGAGAAGGATTAGCAAACAGAATTCGCACATGCATGACGTTGACACGACGTACATTGTGTACAGACAGTACAGCGTGGTAAATTAATTTATGACTGCCCTGACACGAATCCGCGATTCGTGTTCCGACTACTTTTCCGAACGAAAAATGCGAAAGTTCGCAATCCAGTTCGCGAACTGAAAAATGTTTGCAAACGCCAACGCAAATTTCGTCTTGCTAATCCTCCGTAATAAGAAGTCTTGAAGCTTCGTGCAGCTTCTTGCGCGCAGACGTAAAGTTCTTCTCTATTCTCTAATTCAACTCAGATACTGAGCCAGTAAAGATAATTAAAATAGAAGAAATCGCATGGAAACGATTTATTAAGCAACTATCCACGACGGTGACAAGACAATAAGTCAGAAAGTGCGATAACAGGGCACAAAACTGACAGGCTACTGAGACAGTCAACGAACTGACACCTACTTCAGGAGCGCTAACACATCTCCAGTGCGCAAACCAGCAGCCTTCCAGCTATAATGGAATTCTTTGCACAATTTGTACATAATTTGCACATTTGCACATTACAGGTTAGGATACCGCAATGCAAACACTCAAAATACGGTCTCTTTGCTGCATACGTCATCATCCTTTTCACCAAATTTTCTGGCATGGCCCATCCTCAGGGTAAAAACAGAAAGGGTAATGCGACAAACAGCGGAGTGAGTAGATATGCAATGCGGTGGTGTAGGAAGGTGATAAGAAGAGCGCGGAAGAGAAACGGCGCAAGAAACGTGTGCACAGAGTAGCAGTACTGCTTAGAGAAGAAATACATTGCTGAAAGAAAAACAGAGACGGAAGGTGAGGGGACACCACATTAACTAATGGAGACAGGGGTGTCAGTAAACCTCTATTTCTGCACTCAGTGTATCACTTACTTCGAAGTAGCTGTAATGGGTACTACTCTTGCCATGTCATTTCTCCAAATATTTCACAGATTGCATTTCACTTGAGGATCAAGCAACAAGACCTTTTTTTGTGAAATTCGTTCTAATGACGATGGTAAATAGCTTGAAACTTGTAGTTTCCCTTGTTGTTGTAAGCTTCCTGTCTCCTATTCAGTCAATTCCACAAACTTCGTAATACGCCGATATCATTATTGTAATTTTATAGTGAAGTAATTTTATATTTTGGTGATTGCAGATCTACCAGTTGGACGTGCTCTGAATGCAGTGCAGACTGTACAAATCAAGCAGCCAGTGAACATGACGGTTGTGCTGACATATTCAGGAAAACCGTCAGTACCGTCGTTGAACATATTATGGACAAAGGTATGTTATTTGCTTCTTGACTCCATTTTACTACTATTACCATTAGATGCATTTAAGCAGTTGTGGCCGGATTGCCACTCTCACTTATGCCATTCAGGACACCATGCGGTGAATGAAGAGAGAGAAAGAGAAAGAGACAGACAGACAGAGACAGACAGACAGACAGGCAGACAGACAGCCAGACAGAGACAGAGAGATACAAACATACAGATAGAGAGAGACAGTGAGATACAGAGAGACAGAGAGAGAAACAGCGGGACAGAGAGAAAGACAGACAGAGACAAACTGAGAGGGACAGAGAGACACAGAGAGCAACAGTGAGAGACAGAGAGATAAAAGAGCGAGACAGAGACACAGAGAGGTAAAGAGGTAAAGAGAGAAAGAGAGGGAGAGAGAGAAAGAGAGAGAGAGATAGAGAGAGAGAAAGAGAGATTATGTGGATACAGTGAGTGATGTGTCTCACCGTCTTTTTTTCTTTTTCCTTTTTTTACTATGGTCACATAAGCAACTCGAAAATAATAGCGAAAGACAATGGTAAAATGGAAAAGGACATAATGGAAACGAGTTAAGAGTAACTCTCCATCACTGTGCCCAGATACTCTATACAGTCAGAAAGTGCAACAACTAAGCACAAAACTGACAGAGTATTCCGACCTTCGATGTCCTGACACCTAGCTTCAACACATCTCCGTCACGCTAACCGACAGCCTTCCAACTCTTAACTCGTTTCCATATGTCCTTTTCCTTTCTGCATTTGTTATTGGCTCAACATCCGAGTTTCAAAAGACAATGGTAATGAGACTTGAACAAATGTGACAAATGCTCAACAGGCGATGCACTGAAACGACAGGGTGATTGCTTAGTGTTCCAGAAAGCGTGAGTTTCGCAATCTGAAAAAAATTGTTCAATGGTCTATGTTGGTGTGACATCCAGACCATAGCTGTGTGCTCAGCGTTTAGCCGGACTAAAGGGAAGGGTCTCTGATTCCATTCATGACGGTGGGAGTCATGTTTTTCTTCAGTCGTTTCCCTCCTCCTCCTCCTCCTCGCCCCCCCCCCCCGCAACTATTGAGTAGTAAGAATTAAGGTTGTCATTAATTGGATCTTGGAGTGCACTATCGAGGCACCCTGCCGTCGAAAACAACACACTTCTCCCAGCAGCAGGCAGGTCTCTTGTCATCACTTCCAGAAAGAACTCCGTAGTCAGAAGTTTTACTCGAACAGTCAGTTCACGGTGAATTTGTACCAGCTCAATGGTATATCATGAATAATGCTATATCATGAATAATGACGTTATAAAAATCGTTTTCACTTACAGAGCAACCGGTTAGTATACTGTGTTAGCGGTCGATCAGGAAATACACTGCAACTGCAAATCTTAGCGCTTTGTACACTATGCGCCCCATGATCACTTACTGAGTGTCTCGTTGTACCTTGTCATGTGGCTATGATGAAAGAAAAAAAGATTCCATTTCTTCTGTCCTGGTCTTCGTGACAAACTAGTATTGTGAGCGTGCTTACGCTCAATTGGACGAGAGAAAATAATGGCAATGCATCCTAGCAAGCATCTACCTCATCATAATTATTTTTAGCAGCGGAACAGTGCAGTGGGACAGTGGCGAGTGTTACTGAAATTTCTAACCCAAATTGTGACGTCTGATGTTATGCAATGCCAAGACGAGTACAAAGACAAAAAGGAGAACAGAAATTCAAGAAAAATCTGAGTTTTTATAAAATGCGAAACGCAATTGAAACATAATGATGTGTGCTTCACAACCCAGAGACCCATATTTAGAGTTGTACCCAATGCTGTAGACAGCAAGCTGTTTCGGCCATAAAGGCCTCATCAGTACAGCTACGAGCTAAATAGGCCGAGCTACCAGCCATGGTACATAGGAGGCACCACAGGCATTAAGATAGCTCGTCGCTCTTGCGCCAGAGTGCTCAAACTACAAAAATTAGCGGGCATTGCGCGATGCAGCAGCACTAGAGCAGCCTACTGAGAGTGCTCAACAAGGCGAAAGCCGAGGAGCGTGATATTTAGAGTTGTATAATATTGGGTGGGTATATTGAATCCCCTTGATAATGCTTCGCTTTGTACCCTTATTTCCCAAGGTTGGTGATCCGGATTGGAGCAGCTTGTCAGCGGAATATCTTCTGTCCAGTAACAAGCTTTCACTGAGTATTCTCCACGCACAGATCAGTGACTCTGGAACTTACGTGGTTAGACTTGGCAACTTGGCTGGACGCATCGATGTGAAGTTCAATATTTCTGTTGAGGGTACGTTTCTTTATGCTCTAGTGGTCGCACGAAGTAAACGTTATTATTGTACGCTTCTATTTTTACACCCACTGACCGGCCGATCTAGTAACAATTTTAAA